TGCGGTGTGGGAGGAGCGTGTGTTTCTCTTCCCGCAGGAGCGTGTCCACGTCCTGGTGCGGTGTGGGAGGAGCGTGTGTTTCTCTTCCCGCAGGAGCGTGTCCACGTCCTGGTGCGGTGTGGGAGGAGTGTGTGTTTCCTGTTCCCGCGGGAGCGTGTCCATGTCCTCGTCAATACTTGTCATTATCTTTCACTTTTTTTTTATTTTTGTAGACTTTACTGAACCTTGTATTAATTGAAAGAGGTTAAGTTCTGCTTGTTACTCTCAAACTGTGATAACAACTCAGATAAGAAGGGATGTTGACTATAGAAATTATTTGTAAAGACAAATAAATTCCCCAGTGCTGCTGTTTTCCCCATAACCCAGCACACCTGCAGTGTTGACAGCCTTCGTGCCCAGTGCCACATTTGCTGTCATAAGAGGGAACTGGGGACTGTGTCTCATGCGTGTGTCACGCTTTGCACAGAGAAGCTCAGTGGATTGGAGAAACTCTGTTGAATTGGATCCCTGCAGAAAGCTTCTGTGTTTACAGAGCACTTTGTTAATGTTTGTTGAAACACTGAAACAATATATAATTCTTATTTATTTTTTGAAGTTAATATTATGTTATTTATTCGTTTAGTGTTTTGAGATGGAGTCTTGCCCCGTTGCCCAGGCTGGGATTACAGGCATGAGCCACTCATGAGTGAGTGAGCACGATCTCAGCTCACTGTGGCCTCCGTCTCCCAGGTTCAAGTGATTCTCCTGCCTCAGCCTCCCGAGTAGCTGGGATTACAGGTGCGTGTCACCACCCCCAGCTAATTTTTGTATTTTTCGTAGAGACGAGGTTTTACCATGTTGGCCAGGCTGGTCTTGAGCTCCTGACCTCAAGTGATCCACCTGCCTCGGCCTCCCAAAATGCTGGGATTACAGGCATGAGCCACTGTGCCCGGCCACTGTGTTATTTTTTTTTTAACTTTAAGGTTCAAGGGTACATGTACAGGTTTTTTATATAGGTAAATTGTGAGTCACAGGGGTTTGGTGTACCTATTATTCAGTTACCCAGGTAATAAGCATATACCCAATAGGTAGTTTCTCGATTCTCACCCTCATACCACTCTCTACCCTCAGGCAGGCCCTGGTGTCTATTGTTTGCTTCGTTGGTTCCGTGTGTACTCAATATTTAGCTCCCACTTATAAGTGAGAACATGCAGTAGTTGGTTTTCTGTGCCTGCATTGGTTCTTTTAGGGTAATGGCCTCTACCTCTACCCATGTTGCTGCAAAGGACACGATCTTGTTCTTTTTTATTGCTGAATAGTATTCCATGGTGTATATGTACCACATTTTCTTTATCCAGTCCACCACTGATGGACATTTAGATTGATGCTGTATTTTTTGCATTGTAAATAGTGCTGTGATGAATATACCCGTGTATGTGTCTTTATGGTGGGATGATTGATATTCCTTTGGGTGTATACCCAATAATGGGATTGCTGGGTTGAACAGTAGTTCTGTTTTAAGTTATTAGAGAAATCCCCAAACTGCTTTGCACAGTGACTGAACTATTTACATTCTTACTAGCAGTGTAAAAGCATTTCCTTTTGTCTACAATCTCCACAGCATCTGTTATTTTTGACTTTTCAATAACAGTCTTTCTGACTGGCGTGTGATGGTATATCATTGTGGTTTTGATTTGCATCTCTCTAATGATTAGTGATGAGCATTTTTGGTATGCTTGTTGGCCGCGTATATGTCTTTTTTTGAAAAGTGTCTGTGTCCTTGGCCTACTTTTTAATGGGGTTGTGTTTTGCTTGTTAAGTTCCTTATAGGTTCTGACCTATAGATATTAGACCTTTGTTAGATGCATAAATTTGCAAATATTTTCTCCTGTAAGTTGCATGTTTACTCTGTTGATAGTTTCTTTTGCTGTGTAGAAGCTCTTTAGTATAATTAAGTCCCATTTGTTAATTTTTGTTTTTGTTGCAATTGCTTTTGCCATCTTGGTCATGAAATCTTTGCCAGGGTCTGTGTCCAGAGTGGTATTTCCTTGCGTTATCTTCCAGGGTATTTACAGTTTTAGATTTTACTTTTAAGTCTTTAATCTATCTTGAGTTGATTTTGGTATAACAAAGGGTACTAGTTTCAGTCTTCTGTGTATGGCTAACCAGTTATCCCAGCACCATTTATTGAATAGGGAGTCCTTTCCCCATTGCTTGGTTTTGTCGACTTTGTCGAATATCAGATGGCTGTAAATGTGTGGCTTTATTTCCAGGCTGTCTGTTCTGTTGCATTGGTCTATGTGTCTGTTTTTGTTACTGTGCCATGTTACCAGTGCCATACTGTTTCTGTTACTGTAGCCTTCAAGTATAGTTTCAAGTATACTCACAAGTATATTCACAAGTGTGAATATTGTGATGCCTCCAGCTTTGTTCTTTTTGCTTTGGATTGCTTTGGCTATTCAGGTTCTTTTTTTTATTCCATGTGAATTTTAAAATAGTTTTTTTTCCTAATTCTGCAAAACATGTCATTTATTGGTAGTTTAATAGGAATAGCACTGAGTTTGTAAATTGCTTTGGGCAGTGTGGTCATTTTAACGATAGTGATTCTTCCTATCCATGAGCATAGAGTGGTTTTCCATTTGTATATTCATCTCTATTTTTTGAGCACTGTTTCGTAATTCTCATTATAGAGATCTTATATGTACCTGGTTAGCTGTATTCCTACGTGTTTTATTCTTTTTGTGGCTGTTGTAAATGGGATTGCATTCTTGATTTGGCTCTCAGCTTGGACATGGTTGGTGTATAGAAATGCTACTGCTTTTTGTACATTGATTTTTGTATTCTAAAACTTCAGCTATCAAATCTAGGAGCTTTTGGGAAGCGACTATGGGATTTTCTAGGTATAGAATCATATTGACTGCAAACAATTTGATTTTCTCTCTTCCTATGGGTTGCCTTTTCTTTCTTTCTTCTCTTGTCTGATTGCTTTGGCCAGGACTTCCAGTACTATGTTGAATAGGAGTTTAGAGAGCGGGCATCCTTGTCTTGTTCCGGTTTTCAAGGGAGGGCTGGAGAAGGGTCTCCCTACTTTCTCTGCTCCCAAGAGACCAGTGGCTATCCGCATGGGGAGACTCCTGGGCTCTACTTCAGTTCCTTGGGGGTGGTATCACGGTATCACCTCTGTGTGGCAAGCAGTGTGAGTCTGGGCCCTTCCCATCTCTTGCCCTGCCTGGGGCTGGGCCTCTAAGCTAGCCTGGGTCTCTTATCTAGGCTGCTAGGGTCCCAGTGTCTAGGTCTGGGCTGGGAGAAAGGAGGACTCATCCCACCTGGAGCCTGAGCTGTGGTTCCAGCCCGTCCTTTGCACCAGGGTGCCGGGCACTTGCCCGCTCAGTGCTCACTCAGGGGTTACTGTCCTGTGTGTGGCCACCAGGCAGCCGCCATACCACTGCGCATAAGCAGCTGTTTTCTGTATTTCCTTTAATTTTTTTTTTCTATGCATTGTATTTACATAGTCAAGTGCATATTATCTATAATGTTTGTTTCACGTTTTTTCCCCATTTAACCTTATAATATAAGCTTTTCCTTGTATTAAGAAATCTTTATAAAAATGATTTCTATCTTCTGTACATAATACTCTATTGAGATCATGTAGCATAATTTCTGAAACCATCCAGTGTTGGTGAATTTTTTTTAGTTTTTCTTTCCTTTAGGCAGGGTGTAATTTTTAAGGTAAAGCCCGTACTTTTCAAACAGTGACTGTCATATTACTTTTAAGTATGTTAAATTTGATTTTGAATTAAGGAGTATTATTCCATCACCTTGAATTCCACAGTTTAAGCAGAAAATTGTATTTTAGCTTAAACATTTTTAGCAGAGCAAGAAACGAAGAAGTATTTGCCCCCCTCCCCATCTTTGATGTCTCCGTGCTATTTAAATGTAGAAACAATCTTGACTGAGTACTTTGGACTGATAACTCGGACTGACTGGTTGTTGGTTGTGCTGCAGGGGAGCAGTAGGACCACATTTTGGAAGGTGAAGAGTGTTTTACAATGGATTCTCACCATCAGGAGGTCTAATATCTAATTGACTTGATTCTCTTTGTTATTTTCCCTTAAATTACTTTTGAAAGCAAATGTGCAATGGGTTTGGAATAAACAGTGCATTTACTTAAGAACATTAAGAATATTTATTTTGCCGGGCACGGTGGCTCATGCCTATAATCCCAGCACTTTGGGAGGCCGAAGTGGGCGGATTACCTGAGGTTAGGAGTTCAAGACCAGCCTGACCAACATGGTGAAACCCCATCTCTACTAAAAATACAAAAATTAGCCGAGTGTGGTGGCGTGTGCCTGTAATCCCAGCTACTTGGGAGGCTGAGGCAGGATAATTGCTTGAACCCAGGAGGCGGAGGTTGCAGTGAGCCAAGATTGTGCATTGCACTCCAGCCTGGGCAACAAGAGTGAAACTCCATCTCAAAAAATATTTTTTTATGTTCCTGTTTGTAAGTCAGATTCTTGAAGTATAGATTGTTCTTAAACATGTAGTTGCCCAGAGAGGACATTCTAGCATATGGCTCCTGGGGCTGGAGGACTGCTAGAGTTGTGATTCGTGTGCAGTCGGGACGGCAGGTAAAATCCCCACAGCCAGTGGGACACATGAGAGGGATAACGCGGAGAACATGCTCGCAGCTGGTGGATCTTAGCAGCACAGTCATTCCTTTGCCTATTTCCATTATCAGAGTATTACTAGGACTTTGAGTGACAGTGAGGGAAGGAAGAGCTGGTGCTAGTTTCTCATTGATAAGTTAGAGCTTTAGAATGATTTGTTTTAGCTTTCCATTGTTTGCATTTAAATTTCACTTCACTCTACCTTGTTTTTCTGTGTTGTCTAAAGCAAGTCTGCTGCCAAATACATCCTTTGCCTGACTTCCTTGAATGTTCCTCACAGCTTAGGTGCTTTTGTGCTCCACAGTTAATCTCAGAAACACTGAAAGGTGAAAACCAAAGCATGTGAGCATAGCACATTTTCTGTGGCAGTTCTAGGCGCACGTGAGACAAGCAGAGAGCTGCCTGGGGTTGCCCGTGGGTAGAATAGCAAAGTGGAGTGGCTGGCTTTGCAGCCCCTGAACTGACAGTACAGGTGCCACATCTTTCCATTGCCCGTGACTCATATATATTCATTTTTTCTAGTTAAAAACGTTG